AATGGAGATCTTTTTTAAAGGTTAAAACCTCATTTAACTTTGTGTCTTATAGGGTTTATACTGAGTATAATATTGTATGACTATAATAATTCAACTGTAAACCTAAAAATTTACAGCCAATTCTGAAAAAGATGCATCTTAGCTCAGAAAATTGTTATTGAATATGTCAATGCTGTTGTAATGAAATGCTTCTTCTAAGTATGTGGTTATTAAATAAATAATTAACAAAAAAGAAAACAGAGTGTCATTAATAGGAGTCCCTACATCATGTGGGATCCTGAGGATTAACCAAGATAACCCAGACAAAACACTGAGCATCATGCCTGCCGTTAGTAGGTGTCCAAAGGGCTGGCTATCATTAGGAGCACCCATGAGTACCTCTGTGGGAGGTTCATGATGTGTTGAAAACAACAGCCCTTGGCTGGGGAGGTGGCTCAGTGGTTAAAGTGCTTGCCACACAGTGTGAGGACCAGAGTTCAGATCCCTAGAACACACATATAAATACTGTGTGGGTGTGGCAACCCTCCCATAATTCCAGCCTTAGAAGGCTAAGATTTGGGATCCCTGGGCAAGCTGGCTATCAAGACGAGTTATATTTGTGATCTCTGGGTTTGATCTAGAGATCTTGCATCAATAAATAAGATGGAAGAGTGACTGAGGAAGATTCATGACCTCGACCTCAGGCCTCCACATACACACCCACACACATGCATGCACACCCACACACATAGATGAACCCATTACACATACAAATATATGCACTACATACACACACACAAATGGAAAAGGAAAGAAAACACCAGCCCTGCCTCCCTCTGCCCTCCTCCACATTCCACACCACCCCTAGTCCCTGGCAATAGTCTCCAGATGATACAAGCTGATCAAGCAAAATGAAATGGCACAGCAGCCACCAACAGCCATATTCACAAAGAATTCCAAAGGAATTCGGGTGCTCAACAGCAGCATCATGACCTCAGCTACTCCGTCAACTTCTCAAGCACCTTGCAGTCCCAACTCTCCAGTGGCCATTAGGTTACTAAGGCTGCCACTTCCAGGCCAGCATGACCTCTAGATGGCAGTAGAGGGTATTCTGCCCCCATTTTTCCACAGGGTAGCTCATTGGTTCCCTGGTTACATCTCTATTCATTGATGAGCTGTTCAAGCAGAGCTCCTGGCCATATGAAGACCCTGGGTGATACATACCTTAATACTAAGGATCACTCATTGTGGGAAAACCAAGGAGATGTGGGGTGAAGGTGAGGGAGAACTTGACCATCAAAGTCATATAAGCCTTTGGAAGGACTTTAGTGCTGGCTCCAAGGAAGGGGCTGCATGGAAGAGCTATGAGCAGAGGTATACTCATATCGTGAGCTGGATCATATATATCCAGCTCATGACTAGCACCCCATCAACCCAGCCTCCTACTCTGTGGGAACACCTGTAAATGGGCAGAAGCTGGGACCAGGCAGGTCATCAGCGGTCTCAAGACAAGTTCCAGGACCCAAAAGTAGAAAGCAGGTGGTGACAGTAGAAAGCTCTTGCAGACTGGACATCAGGGTTGAGAAAATGTCACCCTTCTCTAACCTGGAGACCTTTGGCTCCCTCTCAGATGGCTCTTGCCCTTTCCTGACAGGCTAGGCAGAGCCAGCCTAATTGCCCAGATGCAAGCCCACTCCAACTCCACTGAACACCCAGATCCCTCCACCAGTCACAGCACCTCCCCTGTCCTAGCTATATGCCTTGTGCCTCCACAAGAGACGCCATGTCTTTATGCCCGTCACCTGCAAGGCTCAGAGTCCAGGCACAGTTGATTAACAGGAGGCTTTGGCGCCCTTAGCTTATTTACTCGTAAGCCACTTTATATTCCTGCCACTTACAACAGAGGGAATATAGAGCAGTGACCTCATCAAAATTAAAGTCAAGCTATGGAGATGGCTCAGAGGATACAGTGCTCACTGCACAATTGTGAAGACCACAGTTTGGATCCTCAGAACCCACATAAAGGTTGAGTGGATGTGGAGCCCACCTGTAATTGTAGCATGTGAGATGTTAGGGGATTCCACAGCAAGTGACTAGCTAAACTAGGTCTATGACTGAGCTCTGGCCGAGAGACCCTGCCTCAATTAATATAGAGCACAGTAGAGGAAGAGTCCCAGTGTCAACCTAGGGTCTCTACATGCATATGAAGGCATTTGGACATTCACACGCAAACATGCGTGCACACACAGGTACGCCACAGACACACATGGGGAAAAAACTAGTCATATCCACTGCCTTCCTGCCTAGCAAGATGCTGGGTGCTCTCCCAGAGGGGCCCTTGCTGAGCTGTGTGCCCACATACTGGTCACTCTCCCAGTGGTGCCGACACCTCAGCCTCCTCCGTTTCTGTCTCTGCTGCCTCCAGCCTAGCCAGGGCTGCCTCCGACACAGCACCAACATTACAGCCCTCTCGGCGTATGTGCACAAGCAAATAAGTGAACAAAGACATTGAGAGCAGAATATCTGCCACATCCCAGTGCTGCCCAGAGTTTGCATACATGGTGTTACAAAGTATGACTTAAGCTGGGCATAGTGGTGCGCACTTGGGATCCTGGT